AGGCACGGACGGACCTGGTGTGCAGTGTATGTCACCGGAGCCAACGCCACGAAGACCGAGATACCCGATGCCAGCGACGGCAGCTTGGAAAACGCACCGATCGAGATTGTTGCTCCCTGTGAGTGACTGACCCAAGCCAGCTGTGTGCGTGTGGATGTTATGGTGTCAATTACTTGGAAGAAAAGTAAGCGAGGGCGAGATTTGAACCGAAGTCCGAACCTTGGGCCTGCCTGTGATGTATTGGACGTAGCTCACGGTCGCCGGGACGTCATACAGAGCCATCTGGTCAAAGTTCCAAGCCCAGAATGCATCTTCTGAACAGCGGCGCAATGTTTGTCAATCGCGAACAAAAACAAAAGAGCTGAACAAGCTGCAGAAATCACGTACGGCCGGGGTTGAAACGTGTGCTGTTCATCGAATACCCGTTGCCGCGTGAGTTGGGCAGCCACACATCGTATCCGCTATCGGCCAGGATGAACGCCAGGCTCTGATGCGCCTGGTTAAGCACCCAGGTCGCCGATGTGTCCAAGAATCCTGTTTTTGTTGTTTTTTTGTTTGAGTTGGAAAATTAGTATTTGAAGCCGTGGCACGCATTGGGATGGGCGATGATGAAGCCAAACCGTGCTGAAGCACGACAGGAATGAGCCTGCCGTCCTTGCTGAAGCCCGAAGCATTGGCGATGCGTTGGATGTTGATGCCGAACCCGTCGGCGGTGGTGGTCCAGTGCTCGGCGCAGAGGTACCCCTGCAACTGGGCGAGCTGGCAGGTGGTCAGCCCCGCCCGAGGGACCCGCTGCTGCTGGGCCAAGCCTTGGCCGAGGAAGGGGCAACAACAGAGGAGAATAGCGGCGGCAACAACAACGAGGCGAGGCGACATAGTCATGTCAATTCTCCTTTCAGTTCGTTGCAAAAGGTGGCAACAAAGACAAAGAAGAAGGATTGTTGCTGCCCGTGTTTGCTATTTTTTTAGGCAAGAAACGTCCCCAACTGGCTGGCTCGCGCCGACATTTGGCGCTCTCCCGTTGGTCCCGCCGGCGATTTGGCCTTTCGACACTATCACCCGGTAATAACCGGAAATCCCCCATATATCCCCCAAAAAATTGCCTTTTGATAAGGGGGCAAGATGTCAGGAGTACCTGGCCGTCCAGGTACTTCCCATCACCATCAATCAGCGCATTGGCCTCTGGGATGGATGTAGGGAGATGGAATGCGCACCGTAGAGCAGGCCTAGAGACAGGTGGGCGCCGCCCAGCTTGAGCTCACGCATCGCCGCGGGTGCGCACTGCCGGTGCAGGTGCGGTTCTATCGGACCATGTAGTTCTTGCTTGGCGAAGGGACCCGACCAATTCGTGAGTTCGAGCTCTTCCACGCTGGCCGGTAACCCCTATTCGTTGAGTGGCCTCTCGGCGATCATGCTCATGAATTATATTCTTCTGAATATTATTGTTTTTGTTATTGGTGTATGGGTATATTATTGGTATATTGGTGATTGACCTGGACGCCGGCGGCCTCACCACCCTTATTGATCCCTTCTTCCATCTTCTTCATCATCTTCTCCAGTGTCTGACCTTTTAATTTCCTTATAAAACGAACCAACCAGCGACTTCAGTACAGGGTCAGGCCCGGGTCTTGCGGGTGAAGGTGCACAGACGCATGGGCTCGTCGGGGCTTTGGTCATCGGAGGCTGATGGTGGTGCGGTGGTGGCGTGGGGCGGGAGGTGCATGGCCACGCTGCAGTCGAATCCGTGGGCGGCGGCCACCTCGGGCAGGCGGTTGTCGAGCCGCTTGCCTCGCGAGCTGTAGAGCACCAGGAAGTGGGCGTCGGCGGTGTGCGCCAGCAGGCCCTGCACCACCGTAAACAGCGCCGGCAGTGCCTCAAACGAGTAACTTTGTGCGGTCGTGCGCAAAGGCCCGTGATGATGGTGATGAAGAAGATGACGACGACGATGATGAGAATCAGAATCAGCCAACATGTGAGCAACATGTGAGAAGCAAGGTATGAACATAAC